TTTTTATTAATAAAAAATATAATTAAAAATTAAAATATTAATTTTTTAATTATTTTTAAAATAGTTTTAATTTTATTAGCTTAAAAATTTTTAAAAATTAACTATTAATAAATTTTAATTTTATTATTTAAATATTTAAAAAAAAAAAAATATAAATATTATAATTTAAATAAAAAAATAATTATTAAAACTAATTAATTTATTTTATTAATTAAAATTATAAATAATTAAATTTATATTTATTATTTAATTAAATTTTAATTAATTTTTAAATTTAATTAAAACTATTTTAATATATAATTAAAATTTATAAATTATATAAATTTAATAAAATTTTTATTTTATAAATTAATAATTTTATAATTAATAGTTAAATTTTAGGTTTATTATTATTTAAAATAATATATAAAAAAAAAACTATATTATAAAAAGCTTTAATAATATATTTATAAGCTATATATAATAAAAACTATTTAAACTTAAGCTTTTTTTAAGTTTTTAAAAAAAATAATAAATGCTAAATTGCTTTATTATAACGTTTTATATATAAAAAAACAAATAATTAAAAATATTTTATTATATTTTATATATTAAATAATATATTAATTTATACTAGCTATTAGCAATTTATATTTTTATATTAATAGTTTGTTTATAATAGTATTATACTTAGCAAAGCAATTAATAAAATAATAAAATAGCTAATATATAATAAGTTAGTTATTAGCAGCTATATATATTATTAAAAAGCTATATTAATAGCTGCTTAGCGGCTGTTTATAGCTGCTAGTATATAATAATCGATAATCGGTTATATAAATAAAAGGCTTAGCTATATATAGCTTATATATAGCTTGTTTTTTACTTTTGTATAAAAAAGTTGTTGTTTATTTTTTTGTTTGCTTGTTAAGCTTTAGCTTAGCTATTTAGTTATAGTTTATTTATTTGCTTAAATAAATTAATAATTTTATAATTAGTTTTATTAGTTTAATTTTTAATAATATTTTTAATATATTTAAAATTTACTTAAAAAATATATAAAATAAATTAATAATAATTAATTATTTTTTATAATTAAATAATAGTTTAGTTTTTTATTTAAATATTATTAATAAAATATATAATTATTTTTTATATATTTTAAAAAATTTTTAAATTAATTTTTAAAATATATTTTTAAAAATAAATTATTTAAATATTTATAAACTTTAAATATTAAATATATAAACTTTTTAAAATATTATATATTTAAATTATTTTTTAATATAATTTTTTAAGTTTTTTTTTTTAATTAATTTAAAAAATTTTTATTTTTTTAGCTAAAATTTATATTAAATAATAAACTTTTTATATATAATAATTAATATTAATAAACTAATAAAAAAAATTTTTAATAATAATATTAATTATTTTAATATTTATATTAAATAAAATTAATATATTATTAAAACTTTAAAAATTATAAAAAATAAAAAAATTATTTTTTATTAAAAATTTAAAAGTTTATTTTATATTATTTATATTAATATTAATTAAAAATTATATAAAAAATTTTTAATAATATTAATAAATTTATTATATTTATTAAAAAAATTTAATATAATTTATTAATATTAAAATTTTATTAATTAAAAAAAATTAATATAATATTAAATAGTTTTTTTAATTTAAATATAATAAATAATAAATTAAATTATTTAATAAATATTAAAAATTTATAATAATTTTTAAATTATTTATATTTATTTTATAATTTTTTTATAAAATTATAAAATTATAATAGTTTTTTTTAAATAAAAAAAAAATAAAAATAAAAATATATTAATAAAAAAAATATTAAATAAATTTTTTATATTAAAATTAAATTATTTTAAATTTAAATTAATATTAATTTTTTTTAAATTATTTTTAAAAATAATATTTTTTTTTAAATAAAAACTTTTTAAAAAAATTTTAAAAAATAAATTTTAATTTAAAATTTTTTTTTATTTTTTTTATTTTTTTTATTAAACTTTTTTTTTAATTTTTTTAAATTAATTTTTTTATTTTTATTAAATTATATAAAAATAATAATAAAAATATTAATTATAAAAAAAATAATTTTTTTTATTAAAAAATATAATTTATTATTAATAATAAAAACTAATATAAAAATAAATATAAATAAAAATAATAAAAAATATTTATTATTAATAATAATTAATAAAAAATATATAATTATATAAATAATTATATAAAATAAATAAGCTTATAAATTTATAAATAATATAAATATTTTAAAATAATTTTTAAATAAATAAAAAATTATTTATAATAAAAATTTATATAATAAAATTTAAAATAAAAATATAAAAGTTTATATTTATAATAATTTTTTAAAAGTTTTAAAAAGTTTATAAAAATTATAATTTTTTTTTTTTTTTAAAAAAAATTAACTTTTATTTATATTTATATAATAAAAGCTTAACTATTAGGTTTAAAATCTATTAATTTTTTTGTATTATTATTAAGTTTAAGTGCAAGTTTTTATAACTTTGCTTTAGCTAATTATTCTATATATAAGGTGGCGTACATCTGTTGGTTTCTAAATAAACCTAGCGGCTCTGTTGGCCGTCTTGGCAGTCTTGGCCGTGTAACATCCACTTCGAATACCAAGCTGCCACTATGGTTATTCAACAAAGGTTTGGCCCCGCAGAGTGGGCATCTTCAGATTTGATGTTTTGACAGGCTGGCGAGTATAACAGTGGCTGCTTCTCTTGTCCCTGCCGCTTTAATCTAATTAAGTTCATTCCAGGGATACAAATGCCATCAGTCCTTAGGGTATGCTAAAGTAAGATAGTCTAACTAATAAGTGCTAATGCTGTGCGTATCAGCATAGGGATTGATAAAGGGACAGAGACCAGAGTTTATGTATTCCGGAATTCTGACCGGTGCATTGGAATGCCCAAATTTTATCGTTGTACTCTGCCATTTGCATAGTCCTAAGTTGATATAATCTGAATGGTATAATCCCGGCATTCCTGGTGCTATAGGACCACACCAGGAGAGGTGGTCTTGAGGTAGAATACGATGTGAACAAAGGGGCTATCCCTGTATATAGGTAGGGTTGCACTTAGGAAGGTGTTAGGGATCTTCGCGCAACAACAAGAGCCTGTCATCTTGATACCTCGTGCTAAGAGGGCCTTGGCACTTCATAACTCGAATTTCAATCAGTATGCCTCGTGATTCGGCCACTTAATATCGTAGTAAAATGTTCTGGCGGCCAAGCTTCCCTCACCAGCCCTACAGCGATTTCGCCGAATGCACAATCCTCATCAGCATCTCTGGGGAGAAGTCCCGAAGTCAAAACTCTTAGCCCGCGGGCCTCTGGACTGGAAGCTCAGTCGAGGGGCGAGAATGCACTAGCCACCAAAACTCGTTTGGCAAGAAGCAAGTTCTTCGTACTCAGATCTCCAACCGCGATCGAGTGTTGTCAGGGACCCTGTACTTGAGGTGGGTGAAAGACTCTTGTTGTTGCGCGAGGCCTTTCTAACTACTCTAAGTGCTAACCACTGACTATATACAAGAATGGCTTCTTTGTCTATATGGGCGTCTATACAGGTGTCTATACAGGTCTACACAGTCTCCTGATGATCCGTATGAACGTTTGGTATGAACGCCTGGCAGTCCGTAACAAGTGTGAAAATATTCATGGTTATGCTAGGATAGTATCTAGGTATTATTATTAGCATTAGCCAACGAATTAAAGGGTGCGAGAAACTTAGATTTTCAGACTTTCATGGAAGCTAGCGAAGCTTACCCCGGAGGACGGGTCACCAAACATTCAGCTTGGGGACTATTTATTTATCGAGAAGTTGAACAAGATGCGGACGGCGTCTACGAGACGCCACGGGACGGCTTTGCCAGCTCTAGCGATTTAGGTGCCTCTGTCAGTGTCAAGGGTGTGTAGGATGTGAGATAAACAAGATGGTGAGTTGTCTTATTGTTTCATTAGACTCGGGATAGAATAAAGCTAGGACCACAATTAATAGGAAAGCCATTTAGCTTTCCCACTCTAATGAATTCCAATTTCTTTAACGCAAACTATTAACAAAGCGGCTGGAGCTTCTCGAGTCTGAGGGATTGAATTAGACATGCGAATCAACATATCTCCTCATAGTCCAAAAGACAGAGAGAGCACTTTCATTCAGGCTCCAGAGATTTTATTTAGATATAGAAAACAGGACATTGGGCGCAATACAGTCTGGCAGAGGACGCCCAACGCGCCGACCTGCTTAACAGTGCCCTGATTGTCTGTTGAAATTCAATTGAGAAATTCAATGTGAAAAAAATAAGTCCTCAGGTTGATTTAATCTTTAATAGGTCTATTCACCGGCTCTATTCCAATGCGTACTTGGGCCAAAGCAGGCTTTGCAAATTGACGCCATCCAAGCAGTATTACCCCGCTATTGGCCCCAACTAACATGGATGTAGGAAATCTCCATTAGATGCCTAAGCAGTTCTCGAATCTCCATCGTCTCGCCTTGAGCAGCATCAGTGGTTTAGTGGTAAAATCCATCGTTGCCATCGATGGGCCCCGTGTTCGATTTACGGCTGATGCATACCTACAAATTGTTTTTTTGTGCTCGACAAAACCTACATAGGTTTAGTCCTAGGTAGCATGTAACACAAATGAGTGGTTGAAGCACCAACAAGCATTTTTGTTCATTAGATTAGTCAAGATCAAATTATTGTTGATTTTTTATTGCTTTTAAATGAATAAGAAAGTACTATGGGGATTTTTTTTTACCGGGATTTCTAAGCTAGCAATGAACATAATTCATTAACGAGCACATCACAAGCGCTGCCGTCCGATGCCATGTTGTTCTCATCCTGGAATGTTCATGATCTATTAAATTTTCAGGGCATAAGAACAAAAATGTGGCCGTAAAAAACGAGCCTTCTATATAAAAGCTTTGCTGTATTGTTCGCAAATATATGGCCGGAGATGCCAGTGTATCGAGTGTTTGGCCGAGTGGTTAAGGCGCCGTGTTTAGGTTTCCGCTTCTACGAAAGTATAAAGCGTAAACATAAACCCGCGGTGGGAAACCGCGCAGGTTCGAATCCTGCAGCACTCATACGTTTAGCTTTTTCATGTTTTCTTTTTCTTTTTTTAAAATACCTTATGAACCTTTGCTGTTTTTATATATTTTTGTTTTTTTTAATATTTTTTTGTTGTTCATTTATAATAGCTTTGTGAGTTTAGTAATAAAAAGCTCTTTAAAAAATCGGCAATTTAAACAATTAAGCCAGCTTGTTATTATTTTACGACAAGTAACCCTCACAGATATAATAAGGTGAAATTGTCGTGATAAATCAGCCCCGGGAAGTCTCTACATCTTTACTTCTCAAGAACAGTAATCTCATCTCATATAGAGGTATGGATACGGCACTAGAACCGTTTCGCGGGCGAAGCAATGGGTTTTGCCAAAAGCGTAGCTGCCCGGGGCTGACAAAACAGAATCCTTACTGCGAGAAGCACTCCACCAAAACCAGCAGATCGCGTATAAGGGAAAGAGAGAAAAAAGCTGAGAGGGCGGCTTTGGGACTGTGCGCTGAATGCTCTAAGACGCTAACCTCAGAAAATAGGTCTACTAAAAGTGCTACACGATGCGATGAGTGCTTTACAAGGATCTCGACGTATAATGCAGACAGACACAAAAAATTACTCGCCCGAGGACTGTGTTATAATTGCAGAGGACCTTCCCCCTCTTCGAAAAAACGTCAAATCTGCGACAGTTGTTGTGACAGGAAAAGGCGGGGATTCCTCAGTCGGCATCCAGAGGGCCTTTGTCGTTTTTGTGGCGCGGAACCAGATGATCCGGACTATAAAACTTGTTCCCCGTGTCGAATGAGGCAAAACAAAGAGGCGCAGTTACGAAAGTCCAAAAGGAAGGCCAAAGAGGCAGCGATGCCGTGGGGGACCAAAACGAAGAAGAAGAAAACAAGCCTGCCACCACGTCCAGCTACAATAGCGCCAGACTCAGTTGGGGGAGAAACTTCTGCCCAGGACGCGATGGAAACGAGGAAGGATGCCGAGGGAATAGAGAACAACACATATCGCCGACTCAGCATCGCTGCTATACTGAATTAATTTTCTTTCAAAAGAAACCAATGTTTAAATAAATGTTTTCATTAGCGTCACCAAAGAGAGTTTCCTATTTTCTTGGCCGTTTTTATGTATTGCAGGACTGTAAACTTTCTTTGCAACTAACATCTAAAGTAAAACGGTTAAGAGTAGTTATGCAGAGGTATTATAGGACATCATGAGTCATATCTATTCTTGCTCTTGCTGGTAGCAAGGGGCATTCGTAATTACAGTATTTCCAAAGTGGAACTCATCACTTAGTGATTTAGTAGCGCTTTCGCTCCTTCCCCTTGATATTCTGTCGCCAGAGACAGATGACGCTCTTGCTCTCACACCATTTCTTGACTTCGAATGGGGACACCTCTCCATCATATCCGACTCGTGTTAGTTCGCCGCCGTTAAGCCAAGACGCAAGTTCTTCGAGAATAATGGGATCGTAAAGAAGCATCTTCTCGTGCCATGACGGATTTGACGGGTCCTGTGAGCGGGGGGTGGAGATCACAGCCTTGGTGATGTGTTTAAATAACTCGGCTTGTTGATCGGTAGGCGATATCGTGAGAGACATGTCGCCCTCGTCCGATATTGTGAGATCCAACGGAGGGGGCGAGGAGAACACTGGATCTGGCGACGATGCAGGCGATGAAGCCCCGTTATCAGAGTCCGGAATTTCAATGGAAGTATTGCTTGACTTTCTAGGGCGGCCACGTGGCCGTTTAGGGCTTGGTACGGAGATACTTGATTCTTCTGTACGGGTAGAGGTAGTCTCTTTGTTTTTCACGCCACTACGCGAACGTTTGGGACTCGGCTTGTCTGAAAGACTTGGTTTAGCGACTGGTATCACCGTGTCATCATCTTTCTTTGGCCGTCCGCGTGCGCGTGGTTTCGTAGTAGCTTTACTTGGAGCAGTAGTAACAGATTCTTGAGTTGTATTACGAGTCGACGTCGACAAAGGCTGTACTGAAGTGGTTGATACCCCTTGATGTTTACTCACCCAACAGTGATCTAATAATGCAATCATTGCGGCGCGCTTTTTCACTGGCTTAAAGCCATACGACGTGATTTGCTTGCTGAGTTGTGCATCTGTGAATAATTCATATTTTGGGCGTGGTTCTATACTGGGTGGATTTGTTGAGCCTTCTGATTCCGACGATGTAGGACCTGATTGTTGTTCTGTACCCTGAGACTGAAAGAAGTGAGAGCTCGCTTGTGTGGTTTCCGAAGATCCGCCAGCCGTCGAGCTTACGGGCATTGGTGAGTTTAATATATCGTTAATGTCAACGAAGCTTCGACCACCGGGCGTAGCAGTTGAAGTCGGTTCCGCGACGACAGCAGGGCTATGCTGAAGATCAATAAGTTCCATTCCCATCAACTCGCCATCCTCATCACGCGCTCCAGCGTGCCATAAACGTTGCCCCGCATCGTCATCAAAGGGGTCAGAATTCAGACTGTTTGATACACGGATTGCGGCCTGAAGATCTCTTAGTGTTGTAGGGGATTCTTCCTGCATGAGTTGGCTTGACGTTCCGAAAACAAAATCCTGGTTCGAGGATTGTTTCAAGGCAGAATTTGGAGACAGCAAAATTGGGTTGGCTTGCGTGCCTGCTTTCTTCTTGCGTGTTTTGGAAGCTGCTTTTGTCTCTTTAGCTTTGGGGTTCCTTTGGGACATGACGGCCGATTGATGCTCAACCAATGCCTTGACCGCGCCATCGGAATCAAAATAGTCTAACATCGATTCTTTAGTTGTAGGGCCTACGAATTCAAACTCAGGAGCGGGTGGTGCGGCAAAAGGGGCTGTTGCTAGTTCGGTAATTGTCCGTGTCTTCTTTCTTGGTGCAGGTGTCTTGGGTTCTGCTCGTCTCTTCTGTTCTTTCGATTGTTCTGAGACCTTCGAGTCGGGCTCTTGACTAGATTGTTCTCGTTCGCCTTGGCCGGTTGATATTAACTCAATCCGCATACGCTTTCTAAAAACCTCAGTCTGGGGTTGCGGGCTTGGTTCCGGTACTAAATCTATTTCATTTCTTCCATACTGTGTATATAGTGTCTGGAACACATGCTTTGACGCTTTCTCTCTATCGATTGATGAAAAAAGCTCTCGAGCATCAGAATCAGAATCAAGAACAACAGCCTCAGTAGATCTCGGAGGCGTCCAATCACCCCGACGTGGAACGGCGAGTTCTAATGGAAGATCTGCAAGGGGTTCATCGACTGTTTCTTTCTTGGTAGCCTTGCCCTTTCCTCTCTTAGCGCTAGTTTTAGGAAGTGAGTCTTCGTCCCTGGTAGTAAAATGCCGAGACACCGTTTCTTTGGTATTATTGGATCGTTTTCTTGAGGATGACGCCTTAGGACGTGTTGGAGATTGTGGCTGATCGTCAGGTTCCGTAGAGGGCTTCCTCTTAAATTTCTGCCACGGTTTATCTTTTGGCGACAAGGAGCCAATCGCGGCAGTATTCGAATTCTGGTGGTTGAGTAAGTCATCGGGTGCAAGCACCCTTTGTCGAAGGTTTCTAGCTGTTGTCTTGACTCTACGTGGTGGCGAGCTGGTTATTGTTTCGGTGTCTATATCAATTTCGGGTGCTTCTCGTAGGACATCGGCGGCACTCGTAAACGTGGCTTGGGCGTTAGGAGGTATAGGTGCTGCGTGATTCACGGTTCGGAAGGGTGACTTCCTGGGGCTCTTCTTGAGGAATATCTCATCAAGTGAGGGAAGGTATGGCGAAGACGAGGATATCGAAATCGGGTCGAGGGTACGCGGCCTATGCGGAGAAGACATGAAGACGTCCGTAGAAGACATAGCTAGGTATCGGTGTAAGCCGGCCGCTGTGCGCCATGCACAACCACCGAAATAGCGTAGCAACACCTTAAAGACGAAAGAGATAAGGGCGAGTTCTAAGACCCCATCATCATCAGCTCATGGAACAACGAGAATTGCTAGGAAAGAAACGGACGGGGTGCAATGCTAAAGCCATTCGACGGTTGACGCTTTGTTGTGTGATGCCAATTGAGTCGCATACTCCGTACCGTATAGTGATTTAGGTGGGTGTCTTTCAAGCCGGGGGTCCATACAATGATTGGCCAACGAGCGAACGTCACATGCGAATAGTGGACCCTGATGGATAAACTGGGGCTTGCAGATGCACGCGAAAGATTCTCGAAAACAGGTGACTATGCACGTGACCTTAGCCGAAAAAGAATACCAAGGTACAACCCCCACCAACATGCCTCCCGCCCACTATCTGGTCTACCTGGGTCAAAATTGTTGAAATTGAAATTCCTCCGCGACAACCACTACGACACCATCACCAACCACATTTCCGACCTCCTACCCAACCGCCAACTCACCCCAATCGCCAAGATGGAGAACGACCGTGGAGAGCTCGTCGACCTTTACGTGCCGGTACGCATTTATTCTTCGTAATAATCATAATAATTCATTTCCTAGGGGAAAACGCTGACAAAATCTCCCCTACAGCGAAAGTGCAGCGCAACCGGCCGTCGTACGTTACCATCCTTCACCTTACATATACACACTCTACCTTGAGCTCCGAAGGGTGTCTACCGATTAATAGTTATGGTCTTGGGTTATGGAGGGAAATTATGACTGACCACTCGTGGGCAACAGTGATTAAGGCCACAGACCACGCCAGTGTTCAGATCAGCGTAAGTCCCCAAATTGCGCAACCTAGGCTTGCCATAGTTAATTGGATCATATAGGTCGCTAGACTTGACGAGAACGGAAGACAGATCCCCGGCGAGAACCACGTGTAGGAAGCCCTAGAAATTCGCGGCTGTGTTGTCGCTCGTAAATTAACATCAATGATAGCTACGCTCTTAGCGGATTCGTACGCGCCATGGTAAGTTCCTACAAATATTGCATGTATGCCATTCTGCATAAACTGACTCTCAAACAGGGTGAGAGTGATGATGCCTTCAACCGCATTACCCAGAAGGATGGCCTCCTGAAGAGCGTCTGGAGCCCCAACCGATAGAGCA